GCAAAGCCCAGTGGGCTTTACGACCAAGGTTTTGCAAATGGTTAGGACTCGTCGGGCCGAACTAGAAAAGTCAAACATAAGGGTAAAAGGTAAAAATATCTACCTTTTCTGGTAATAATCGCAGAAGAATGACTGATATTAGTAAATTAACTTGCAAAACCAGAACATTGTCATAAAAAAAAAAATCCTTTGATCACAACATAATAACTTTTGAAGTCACAATCGTATACAAGAGAGAAGCTTGAGAAAGATGATCAAGAGAATCATGACCCTAGAAAAGAAAACTTTCTTACCTTTCAAGATCACTGAAAAGCCTCGAGAACCAATGATTTCTTATGACCTGGGAACCTGTAAAAAGTTACTCACAAGGTGTGTTACAAGTCCCTTGGTCCATGGTTGTAGCCATTATTAGAGTTGGAATGGTAGGGATGATGGTTCTTGTATTGTCTGCGAGAGTCCTCGCTCTGCCTGTATGCGTCTCCTTCTGTTCTGTGGCTTATCATCATATTCGAGAAGTGATCCAAGTCCCTCACTCCGTAGTTGCCACGGTTTGAGTTGGCATGGTGGGTGGTATGATGGTTCTGGTACGATCTCCTCTGATGTGTAACCGGCATAGCGTGTGTATTGGCACGCAGGTTGAATGATGCTTGTCCCTGCAGAGCATTATAGGTAGGTCGTCCGTTGTAGAAAGCAGGTGGTGGTCTTTGGATTGATTGGTTTTGTTGTGTTGCAAAAGCATATGAGTGTGAAGGAGGAATGTTTGGACGAGGAAAGTGTGATTGGCCATTGAAAGGAGCGTATGGACGAGGAACATATGTAAGAGGCACACGTGGTGGAGGAGCGTATGGACGAGGAGCATGTGGTCGAGGAGCATAGGAATGAAAAGGGGGATTCATATTTCTCAACTGGCTTGGATTCGTATGGCCCTGCGAAGGATTTTGGTTTGGCAAAGCCACAAGTGAACGATTAGCCGGGATGTCTTGTCTAAACCTCTGGTTTTGATTCTCATCTTTCTCGTTTTTTCTAGTCTTTGCTTGACAAGGCTTCTTCAAGTGATCAGGCTTTTGAAGTCTTCCATCTGATTACAAACACAGAACATATCACTAAAAGAAATCTCTAGTTTCAAACTGGTGTGTAAACATTCCTAAAACAAAGAAGAATAAAGCATATCACCTTTATATACATAGCCTGACTTTATTTTCCTTTCTCTCATAACCTTTCTTGCTGCGGCACCACGGCCATGCTTTTCAGAGAGAACTTTTACTCTGTCTTCTTCATTAACCCATCGCTAGAATAAGCAACCAACTCATAAGCATATGAAACCGGGAAGACTTATTACTGAACGTGTAAAGTAAAAAAAAAAGACAACATTTTCAAGACACTCACCTGCCTCAAGGTCATTAACCTATAAAGATTTCGTCCTTTCACTAGTAATGGATACAAAGGAGGCAACTTCTGTATCCCTTCGCACCAAAGCACTTCAATCTTTAGTAAAGAGAAACATACCAAATGGTTAAGTTTCTGATAGTAAAACATAAATCAAGAAAATCACAGATTTGAGAGGTCATCATACTTACAGTGAAAGTGTGTTGTTGTTTAGCAGTACCATAGCTTTCTTTAACAACCTGTCCAGCGACAGTTCTTCTCCCCACAATCTTTCCACTCTTTTGCATCTTCTGTGTAAACAAAACAGTATCTCCTTTGCAAACATCACCTACACCAATTTCTTGAAACTCCACTGAAAAAATTTCAACCACTAACAGGCAAAAAGAAATTTAACAGATCCAAAATACCTTTACAATTGATAGCAAAAGATGATCTTGGATAAAGTTTTTCTCCGCTTCCATCTTTTATCCTGAGAATATCAAATAGGATCATGAGAATTATATAAAATACTCTTTTGAATTTCCACAAGACT